CATCTAAAAATAATGATGTATAATTGTTTTTTTAAAATAATATATTTAATAAATTATTGGTTTTTGCATTTTACCTCTCTAAATTCACATTAAATAAATAAATAAATAATATAAATCATTCATATATATTTAAAATAAATATTTTGATATCCCTTCATTGTTCATAAATATTTAAAATATATAATAATGATACATAATAAAGGATAAATATGCTACTTTCGAAGGTTAAATAAGAATATGAAGAACACTCATTAGAATATAAATATGTTCATGAAGTAAACTACATAATTATGTTCATGGAAAATGTTGGATGGTTGATGATGCCTAATTTTGAAACCATAACATGCATGCTCTTACCCGGTAAAAGTCAAACATGTAGAGGATGAGAGAGAGAGGGTGGATATGGGGGAGGGAGGACTAGTACACCTAGCTCTGTCTCTAGCTGTTTGAGATACAAATTATCCATTTGCAATATGCTTTTGTTGGTGCACAGCAAGTAAACAATATTATATTAGGTTCCTAGTGACCAGTCTGAAATGTTTGTCATGCTTGATGATCATATCCTACTTATAGTTAATCATGGTAAGAAAACTAAAGTTATCATGAAAGAAAGGAAGGTATACATGTGCTGAAGGAAGAAGAGAACATGTTGCACAATTTTAGGCTAGTCTTTGAAAGTACACTTCATTTCTAATGTGTTTGTGGAGCTTGAATTTCCATTTGTATACGGTTGCAAATTTATTAGGAATTTTTTGCTATTTGTTTTTAAACATACTAGAGGTCATTACAAAACTTTATTTCCGAGAACCTGGCCATTGTTAATTCACAAAATTGTCATTATTTTTATTAAGAACATATTAGGGGAGTCATTACAAAACTTTGTTTCTGAGAACCTGGCAATTGTCAACTTACAAAATTATCAAATTTTTAAGAACACACTAAATAAGTCACTAGAAAACTCTTTTTTTGAGAATATGGTAGGTGTCAAGCCAAAAACTTTTAGTCATCTATCCTTATGAGTCCAAGGAGATAAAAGTTCTATGAGCACTTTGTCACTAATGGTTTTTTTTGTTGTTGTATGTACCTATAAGAAGCAAACAGACTTGCATGCCACCAAATTCCAAGATATCAGTGATAGTGTACGAGACTCATGCCAATGGGGTTTGGGGAGGGTCAATGTACACATGCTTCCCTCTAAATATAAAGAGATTATTTTCGTGACATGAACTTTAGTCTCCCAAGTCGCAAAAGAGCGACTTTACTATTGTCTCAAGGTCCAGGCCCTTCCAACATACGAGTGACAACTCATATAAAATCGAGTTTTGATAGTCTCATGCTTTAGCCTGTGGCTAGGTACCTAGGTTCCAATTCTGGTGCCGGAACAACATGGCTTCAAGGATTTCACTTTTAATACATTGTAATATTGGTAAAGAAATAAGGCTCCTATATTTGTCATTTGCTTATGTCTAGGACAAACATGTTAATTGAAGTGCACTATATCCTTGTGCAGACTTGAATACCCACGTGGTTCTTTAGTTATCCTTGCCATTTTTCATACTCTATTCATATGCCTTAAGCTGTTCAAAATAAATCATTGTATCAATTTTGCCATTTTTAGCTGAATTTTTTTCTTTTCTGTTTTGCGTGGTGATTCCATTGTTTCCTTTGTAAATCATGGAAAATCTCTGGGACTACTTTTTTTTGTTTCAAGTTCTTAATACTCTAATTCCTCGTGTAAGATGTACCGATGCTTTCTTGCCCATATTTTTAATGTCTTATTTGCTGAAGAGTGCGGCATGTCTCAAGTCATCTGCTGATACTGGGAAAGGACAGAGTAAGCTGTCGAGTACTAAAGTATCACATGGATTCCATTTGGTGAAAGGGAAATCAGGTCATGACATGGAAGACTACCATGTGGCTCAATATAGCTATGAGAACAATCATGAGCTAGGTCTATTTGCTATTTTTGATGGCCATATGGGAGATAGTGTACCGAGTTACCTGAAAGCCAACCTTTTCAACAATATACTCGAAGAGGTATTTGTACTTCCTTTTTCACCATCCATGTTCTTCTAGTTTGTAGTTTTTATCCATTAGTAGGAACATTGTCTTGGTACATTTTACAATCTGAAAAAAAAAGATATGGTACAAGATGATCATTAATGGAGGAGTTGCAGAATGACACATTCCCCTTAGTACATTTAAGCTAACCAAGTTCTATTTTATTTGAAGAGTATATGTTTCTGTCGATTATTTTGTATGGAGTTGAGAATTTGACTTCCCATATCATATCTTATTCTTCAATATGATATGAGACATTTCTTCATTGTTACTGCAGCCTTTGTTCTGGAAAGATCCTCAATCAGCAATAATGAATGCTTACTGCTCCACAAATAAATCTATTCTTGAAAATTCAAAACAGCTGGGGCCTGGGGGTTCAACTGCAGTGACAGCAATTGTAATTGATGGCAAAGACTTGTGGATAGCAAACATAGGTGACTCCAGAGCTGTCCTGTGTGAAAGAGGTGCTGCTAATCAACTGACTGTTGATCATGAGCCCCATGTTGAGCGAAGTAGGATTGAAAAGCAAGGGGGTTTTGTGACGACTTTTCCGGGTAAAATTTTCTTTTATATATGCTTTGAACTTTATTCGACAGTATCGACTTAACTCTAGCACTATTGGGTGGTCTGGAAACTTCTTGCTGTGATCAGGTGATGTTCCTCGAGTCAATGGCCAACTTGCAGTTGCAAGGGCTTTTGGTGATCAAAGCCTCCAGGCACATTTAAGTTCAGAGCCCGATGTAAGACGCGTGCCAATAGACTTCACAATGGAGTTTGTTATACTTGCAAGTGATGGACTGTGGAAGGTTAGT